CACACACACACACACACACACACACACACACACACACACACACACACGCACACATGCACCATTAATAGTATTATAACGTCTTTTTAAAATATTGATTTCATTGTTTTTATATCAAGTTTGCATCTTGTTACAGAGTTACAGAGATGTAAATGCAATTGATTGTCATGCGTTCTTCGTGAGACAGGAATACGACGGTGCAACATATTTTTATTTTTTTTTGTTTAAATTGTGAATAGAAAAATATTTTCCTGAACCTTGAAACTTTGCGTAGGCGTGCAAAAAGGGTTAGGCGCAGCTGTTCGAACAATTATGTTATTCTATTTAGGTAAGAATATGTGTGTGGAATGTAGCTTTTAAGAACAATGCTTGCTCAAGATACGTGTTTGCATTTATTTGATCGCGGATGAGTAACAATATGGAAGCACGGACAGTACGTGAATCAACATTTTTTTATTTTTTACCATATATTACAAACCTCTTTCTTTTAAAGAAATATGAATAATAGAATATACATTAATATATTATATGTATATTTAATTAAATACTTTTTATTTATTTTTCTTTATTTCACGAACAAGAACACAAATTCTTAACGGTATATATATGTATAGTAATTATTATAAATACAAGATGTTGTGAAAAAACAAATATGGAATACTTTTGATTTTGTTCGAACACGAGCAAAAGAGCTCAAGTTTGAAATTATTGTGAATTTGCACGTAGGTATTTTACGAAAATATTCGATCAAATCTACAAAATTTGAAATGACACGCTACGGATAGACTATTGTTATAGTAAGGATCATCGCCGGTAGGCCCTTTGTCACGCGCGGTAGAGTGCAGGCTGCAACGCGCAAATGGCGTTTTTTTCCAAGGACAAACAACACAGCTGACCTATGCCGATGGCTTTGACCTATTCTTATAATTCATCTGCCGAAACTACTACTTTGGTAGTGGAATGTCACATATATGTTTTCACGTTTCAAGTTTTCAATGTATGAATCAATTTTGTTGAATCAAATAGATATTGGAAATATAGTGTATAGATAATTCTTGGTCATTTTGATAAAAAGTTTGATTACTGCATTTATTATTAAAGATGACTAACCAAACTCTGATTTTTTGTTAATTTAATCGATTAATAATTTATCAGGTAATACGTACATAATACAGATTATAATTGTTAATATGGATAGAATTACCTATATATATTTTTGATACATGGAAAAAATTAAATAAAAAACAACGAATTGTATAAAGTTGGAAATTTTACCGAAAGCAATTTTGTTGATACAAATAATTGCCGAACAAGTTGAGCAGAATTTGATTTACTCATAAAAGAATATTATATACGATGCCTGAAACTACTTGGATTTTGGGGGGAAGAGGGGAGAGAGAGAGAGAGAGAGAGAGAGAGAGGGAGGGAGAGAGAGAGAGAGAGAGAGAGAGAGAGAGAGAGAGAGAGAGAGAGAAGCGATGTATCGATTATATTAGACTTTGTAATAATTTTATAAGCTAGAACATATTATAATGGTTTATCTGCCCGCCGAAACTACTACATATTATAATATGTTCTAGCTTATAAAATTATTACAAAGTCTAATATAATTGATACATCGGTCCTCTCTCTCTCTCTCTCTCTTTAAACAACATGTAAATACCTATTTTACGAGAAATGTGAAAGGAAAGTTTTATATGTAACAATTTAATGCTTATTATTATTATTATTAATAAATTAAAAGATTAGAATTTGGAAAACTTCAATAATATAACTTGATAATTTATATTGAGTTTCTTATTTATGTGATATTATTAAAATTAAACTTAAAAATTTTGTTTTAATAATTTTGGATAAAATTCCGAAAACGGTCCACCTCCGATTTCGATAAAACTTTGTAAAAAGCTTCATTTTGGGTTAAAATAAAGCGAAATTAGGCGACTTGTGTACAAAAAAGTCATTTTTAAAAATAAAATAGTAAAAAAATAGTTGGTACGATATTTATTTAATAACGTATATGTTCTTACGTTATATTTGTTCTCTTCTATAATATTTTTTATTATTATATTTGTATCTATTTTAAAACGTTTTCATATATAAAGTTTAATTTTTAACACACTTTCCAAATATTATCCAACTGTAATATTAAAAATTAATGTCAATATTTTAATAATACAAAGACGGTAGTTTAATTGCAATCAATATTGGAGAGCGTCTTTATGATGTAATAAGGACATGTGTGTGTGCTTATTTGCGCAGCAATTCGCACGAACTTTACATTTTGTCGTGTGCTATGTGAGACCGATTATGAGGGGTCCTGGACACAGTCGCGTAACTTGATAAATAAGCAGCAGAAGGTCATAGAAGAAGGGTCAGTCGATCGGACAATACCGTGTGCACGACCTTTTCACCCCGGGGTTAATATGTGGGCGCCTAAACATCGGCAACCGGACAATGTAAAATTTATAGGACGATTTATTACATACACGACTCACATACGCTATCATTGTCCTCTTTGATTTCAATAGACATCGGCCAAAGGAAGAAATTTTTGCAGAACGACCGGCTGGCTAAAAGTTGCTGCACGGTACTTTTCACGGCCTTATAGGAATTTGGTTAACATATTGAGATTTATCAAGTGCCTTGAGATAATCTTGCAAAATTTTGGTAAAATAATTCTGCAATTCGCTACCTCTGAATAAACTTTTAATTTCTGTCCAATCTGGTGTGGATCTTGTTTAAACAAATACAAATATATACATTTTCTGTGCTATACATTTAGTAGTTGTAACATGTATCCCTCTATATACATACATGTTGCGTGTATCGCAAGACACAGCAACAGCTATACATACGGTACATCTCCCCGAGTTGTGTTTTTGTTTGCCAGATAAAATTAAAAAAGCAGTTGATTAGCCACGTCCATTAGTTTCTACGAGTCGTAAAACTTGACCGGGACGTGGAATAAAAAGTCTGTGCAGTTTTGTCGAGTTGTTGGAACAACGATGCGTCGTCGATTCCTTCTCTAACGTACTAGGAAGATTGATAATAGAAATCGCTTCAAATGGACATGTCTGCAAAAAGTACGTTGGTTCATCATCATTCTAAAGAACGTTTCAATACTTGTTAACAAATATAATACGATATATTAATTTTATCAAAAATAAAATATATTCAATGTGCAAGTTTCTACTTGCACACTTTTTTTTATGGATAGAGTATCATTAAAGATAGATTGGTGTTGAATTTGGCAATGATTGATGAAGGGGTTACCAATTTTTGCCTAAAAAGTGTACAAATCATACACGTAATCTTATATATAAGGTATCATTAAAGGGAGGTAGTTTTGAATTTGGCGATCAAAATTATGGACCTTTGATCGCGTATAAAGCTGGGTCTAATCAACCAAATCTTAAAATATTATATATGAAATAGGGGTAGAAAAGACTGAAAAATATAATAAAATTAGAAATAGATTGATATCTCCAAATTTGCGGAAGTTAATATGTTCAGAGTGTTCTAAAATGTCGAAATATTGCATTAAAATTGCATGTCCGTATGTATATATATGTGTGTGTGCAGACTTGACTTTATTTCAACGTTTTTTACCGTATTTTATTTTATTTCTTCGTATTTAACCGTATTTTTATTTTATTTCACCATATTTTACCGTGTTTGACTTTATTTCAACGTTATTTACCGTATTTGATTTTATTTCGCCATATTTGACCATTTATTTATTTTATTTCACCATATTTTACCGTGTTTGATAATTTAAATTTTAAGTTACGTATCGTGGCAGTAAATTTTAAGCGCCACGTATCGCGGCGCCGATTGGTTATTCTGCAGGCCCGCGAGAGTTATATTTAATTTAAATTTTAAGCGCCGCGTTACGCGGCGCCGATTGGTTATTCTGCAGGCCCGCGAGAATTATATTTAATTTAAATTTTAAGCGCCGCGTTACGCGGCGCCGATTGGTAATTCTGCAGGCCCGCGAGAGTTATTTAATTTAAATTTTAAACGCCGCGTATCGCGTATCGTCGTTGTTCTGCCTGCAGGTTTCTAGGGAGTTAGATCTAATTTAATCTTTAAGCGCCAGGTATCGTGGCGCCGAATTAAATTTTAAGCGCCACGTATCGTGGCGTCGATTGGTTGTTCTGCCTGCAGGCCCCTAGGGAGTTAGATCTAATTTAAACTTTAAGCGCCGCGTATCGCGGCGTCGATTAATTGTTCTGCCTGCAGGCCCCTAGGGAGTTAGATCTAATTTAATCTTTAAGCGCCAAGTATCGTGGCGCCGAATTAAATTTTAAATAGTTCACGCATACACTT